TATATATATATATATATATAAACACACACACAACATTATCTTATTATTAATGATTCCAAAACCAGAAATGAAATACTTTCAATTAAATATTTAAATAATCATAGTTAAAAATTTCTATAAATTTTTAACTATGAAACTTGATCTATTTTAATATCTAGGCATTGTTTAACAAATGTTCCATTGTGTTTGTAAACTGTATTCATCTATTGCTTAAAACTATTTTTTTCAGTTCATCCAAATGTAAAATTTTTCATTAATCCTTTGACTGCTCATTCACTGTGTTCATGTCTATCTGCTCTGTCCACCAAGGGGATCAAACCCCTGATTCTAGTGTTGTAAATCCACAGACTTACTGCTATCCCACCAAGGGACCCTGATTCACTTTATAGGGTACAATCTGCCTCCGGCAGTTAATTGCATGTGTGCTGTATACAGTGTATGGCTTGCAATGAAAAAAAAACTTAAAATTACTTTGACCAACGGTGCAGTATAGTAGACAAAAAACAAAATTCACCAATGACACCACATCAGCTTGTGAGTAATGGTAAGCCTACTTAGAATTACTGTCATCCTTTTTGTTTAATCTGGAGCTGCAGACTAAATCCTAACTTGTAATTGCTAAATTTCAGTCAAATATGTAGCTCTGAATTTATTTATTATAAACATACAATTAAAATGTCAACCACTTGTAAAAAGAGTAATTCATACAATGATGAAAAAAGAACTTTCTAAAACTAGCTGAATGAGTCATGTGGCATACACAAGCATGGGACGGATATAGCACTAATTACAAGAAGGAAAAACAAAAATAACTCAGTTAACCATGTACACAACATTTAAAAATCTGGGTGAATAATTCTGGAATTGACTAAAGAATGTATTTTAACATTAGAAATCAAAATACTAAAAGTCATCTTTATTAATAATGTACACGCTTTCAAATGGATCATTCACTTATGATTTAAATTTATCTTGTATTTGGTTTTGTTTCACATTTAGGTGTGTAAACTTAATCAAAGCTTAAGAAATGGACATTCAGTTTTGCTGATTCTTTTATAGAAACAGTTGTCTAGAAGATATTCATAAGAAAACCTAAACATATTGTTTAATGCTATTTAACAAGTATTTTCAGAATAGCAGATATATTTATAACCTTTTTTTTTACAACTAGATTGGAGATTTTGCCTGATAATTGACAGAGTTTTATTACCCAAAAGAAACTAATAGAAAGGAAAGAGTTGAATGTCTTGCACTAAAATAATGGTATTGGGAAAATTCAACTAAATATGTTACTTGATAATGCAAGAAACATTAAAAATTAATGCCTTATTATTAGGTGATAAGCTTAAACTCACTGTATGATAAATGACACAAGAAAGAATTTACCGGAATAAAAGTTTTGTCTACCCTGTAGATGCGAACATCACAATGAAATGTAAAGAACAAATTTGTAGAGGGTTTGTCAGTGGAGGTGTTTTGAATTTCTAATCGCAAACGAAAGACAGGTCCTAATCCTTGGATCTGAAAAAAAAGAAGATATATAATACTAAATCTAAAAATCCTTCCAAACACAAGTAGGAAACAAAAATGTTAATTAGGCTTGTTCATACTTTAATTACAAACAGTTCCAAATAGCTAATTTTGTTGAACAAACTAATTACAAATAGAGTAGATGAATTCTGTAAAAGTTACAAAACTGTACTTATGTGCAAACATAAAATAAACATCCAATTTTCCTTATTTTAGCTGTTTTTTCTACTCATTGTATTTAATCAGCATAAGCTGATGTGTATAATTCAGTTGTTGAAGTATGGAAGATGCATACAATGACAATATACCATATTTTTCGGAATGTAAGACGCACCCTTATTTTGAAGACAAAGTTTTGGGGGAAAAAAAGCTACAGTCGCATTTGAAAGATTTTTATTGAGCAAAAATTCAATTTGACACTTTAAAAATTAGTATATATTGTTCTAAACACAAAAGAGCTCAAAACATCAAAATAAGAAAATACCGTAAATCAAAAAAAGTTTACTGTTATACGAGGCCTGTGAGAAAAGTATCCGACCTTTGGCCGGGGAATAAAAACTGGCATACCTGGAGCGTTGGAAACCTAATCACCCTCAAAGTAGTCTCCTTGGGACTCCACATACTTATCCCAGCGGTGCCGCCATTGTTGGAAGCATTCTGAGAAAGCCTCTTTCGAAATGGAGTTTAGCTCGGCTGTCGTTACAGCCATAATGTCCTCTCTTGTCTGAAATCGCGTTCCTTTCAATGGCCTCTTGAGTTTGGGGAACAGCCAGAAGTCGCAAGGAGCCTGTTGAACCACATGAGTCTGGTTTTTTGCCAACAAAGTCTGAATCAAGTGCGAGGAATGTGCTGGAGCATTGTCGTGATGGAGGCGCCAATTTCCTGTTGACCACAACTCCGGTCTCTTGCGCCGCACAGCATCACGTAGGCGACGGAGGACATCCCTGTAGTACTCTTTGGTGATTGTTTGACCCTGTGGTGCGTACTCATGGTGCACCACACCGCGGGAGTCAAAGAAAACAGTCAGCATCACTTTGACGTTGCTGCGCACTTGGCGGGCCTTCTTTGGTCTTGGTGACGTGGAATGCTTCCGCTGTGACAACTAGGATTTGGTTTCCGGGTCGTACCTGTACACCCAAGACTCGTCACCAGTGATTATGGTGTTCATGAAGTCGGGGTCACTGTTTGTGGAGTCCAGCATGTCCTGTGAGACTTCAACACGAAGTTCCTTTTGCTCCGCCGTAAGCAGCTTCGGCACGAATTTCGCCGCCACTCTCTTCATAGTCAAATCTTCGGTCATAATGGAATGTGCCGAAAAAGTGCTGATGCCCACCTCTTCCGCAATTTCTCGGATAGTCACACGACGGTCCCGCATCACCATAGCGTTCACTTTGGCAATGACCTGGTCATTTCGGCATGTTGATGGCCGACCGGAGCGTGGCTCGCTCTCCACCGTTGTGCGGCTGTCTTTAAACCCGTTGTACCACTCCTTAATCTGTGTGATGCCCATAGCATTGTCACCGAAAGCCATCTGAATCTTCCGAATGGTTTCCACCTGGCTGTCGCCCAGTTTCTGGCAAAATTTGATGCAGTAGCACTGCTCCAGTCGTTCCGTCATTTTCTTTGCAATGAAAAACCGACGAGAGCACTACACACTACCTCACTCAATGGCTGCTTGCCAACAACTGACGCAATCAACAAGCGGGAAAAAATTCACGCATGTGCACGAAGGTTCAAGGTCGGCTCATGCAAGCTCGCTTGATTCAAATCCATCAGGTTATCGCAAAAAAAATAAGGTTGGATACTTTTCTCACAGGCCTCGTATAGTTTGGTTCAAAACCTACAAAATCTTCATTGCTTTCACTTTAATTTATTTTTTTAAA